TCCTAAGAGGGTGGCTTCTCTCCAGAGGGAAGCCTCAGCCTGGCCATCCTGGCAGAACGACACAGATGCAGAGGTGCAGAATGTCACACCCCAAGGAGCTTGCCTAGTGGAGATTGAAGCCAGCCCCAGGGCATGTAAAGGAGGGAGGTGCCAGCAACTGCTCATCCCAAGTGGCAGGAATTCTCTGAGGCAGGGACAGATTCCTGGTTATGTATATGGTGCCCACAACTGGGGTCTTACCCTCACCTCAGCCTCAATCTTACCTTTTCTTGAATTTGAGCACAGTGCCCCAGAAAATTGCATCCCATGCTTCATGGGGAATTCCATCCTTGTCAGGATTCTGGTCTGGCGCAGATTGTAAAAGGAAACCCAATGACAAACCTCAGAATGCAGTGAAGACCCAAGCAAGTATTCACCTAGGGCCCTTAACAGAGTGCAGGATCCTGCAGCCTTAGTATCCAGAACAGAACCTGAAACTGAGCCATAGCCCTGAGCAGTCTCTTTGTCCCTTTCAAGGAGATCAGCTTACAGGAGGGAGCGGGATGCTTCGGGAATTCACTGTGCCAGTGAGGAGGCTGGTGTTGTCTGGAGGGGCTTTACAAAGATCAGCTTCATTCCATAGAGTGGTCACACGACTCCGAAAAGATCTCATAGCAGAGTCAGATCCTTGGTCTTGACTTTGAGATCTTTCCAGCATTCCCATCCTTGTCAGCAATCAGCTACTTCAAATCATGTTCCCTGATCTGTATATTCCTGGTACTGTGAAGAATAGGAACCATGGCAAAGGGATATCGTTTTTGGTTTGGTCTACCTTGCTTTGCAGTGTTCTGCATGCTGTGATACGCTGACTACTACTTGTGAATTGGGGGAGAGACGTTAATGAGCTATTGAAGTAAGGTCTTATCCAGCAGAAAGGTTTTGGGAGATAGCGCGGCCCCAAGATCAATGGCAACTTACTAAAAGTCTAGGTCATGAAAGAAATGGGTGTCCAGTGCCTTGTTTGGGGAACTGGAGGAAAACAAGAAGTGAACTCTTATGCCCTAGGAAGAGAGAAGCATGTCACGGGAGTTTTTATTAGGCAAGAAAAGTGAGGTTTAACTTTCTCTGGGTGGAGGCAGGTAGATGGGTACATTAGTGAAAGGTAGGGTGAGATTTATTCTGTAATGATTAACTTAAAGGCACTGCACTACCCAATGGTATGCAGAGTGATAGGTGGCCTGGTTATAAGAAGAGGAATAAACTTATGAGGGAGGCACAGGGTGTGCACAGTCTACGGCTGTGGGCCTCTGGGGAGATGGACACAGGACTCTCAGGGTTGCTGCTGCTGCTGTGTGCCCTGCCCTGGGCTGAAGGTGCAAAGGTGCTGGTGTTTCCAATGGAGGGCAGCCACTGGCTGAGCATGAAAGATGTCACCAGGGAGCTCCATGCCCGAGGCCACCAGATTGTGGTCCTGGCTCCAGATGTGACTCTGTACATCAAAGGAGAGGACTTCTTTACCCTCCAGACCTATCCCTTCCCGTATACCCAGGAAGAGTATCAGCAGAACATACTGGGCAACTCTAAGAAGGCCTTTGAAGCACAACATTTTGTGAAGATGTTTTTTGAAACTATGGCATGTATAAGAAAATTTTCAGAACTCTATGCAAATTCTTGTGCACTTCTACTGCACAATGAGACCCTGATCCAGCACCTGAACTCTAGTTCCTTCGATGTGGTCTTAACGGACCCTGTATTTCCCTGTGGGGCAGTGCTGGCCAAGTACCTACAGATTCCTGCTGTGTTTTTTCTACGCGCCATTCCCTGCGACATAGACTATGAGGGCACACAGTGTCCAAACCCTTCTTCATATGTTCCAAGGCTACTTGCAAGACTTTCTGACCACATGAGCTTCTTACAAAGAGTCAAGAACATGCTGTACCCTCTGGCCTTGAAGTACATTTGCCATGTCTCATTCATTCCCTATGAGAGTCTGGCCTCTGAACTTCTGCAGAGAGAGGTGTCCTTGGTGGAGGTTCTCAGCCATGCTTCCATGTGGCTGTTCCGAGGGGACTTTGTGTTTGACTACCCCAGGCCCATCATGCCTAACATGGCTTTCATTGGGGGCATAAACTGTGCCAACAGGAAGCCACTCCATCAGGTCTGTATTCTGCCTTTATCACAAGAATTTTCCAGGAATTTTTTTTTTTACTTTCAAGTGCTTATTTACTCATCTGTCCAAAGTTATCTATCTCTCTTAAGAGGTTTCAGTTAAATTCACCTATTAATGTGTGCACAGCTCTATACTCTAGATTTTCAGAGGCCACTATGAAGACTAAGGGCTAAGGTGAAGGCAATGGGACTGAGGGGCTGTAGCGGAACTCTACTGGGACGGCCCATGTATCCGGACGTGGTTTTCCTATCGCGTGTACTAAGTCTGCACAGTTGCTGAGAAAGTAAGCTGTGACCTGACCCATCAGAGGGTGTGTTGCTTCCAGATTTTTTTGAGGGTTAAAGGAATCAGTGAATGGCAGTTGTTGATGTGGCAGGGATGAAATGGGTGTGTCTCATAGGACGCTTGAGCACTCAACAGACCTGGAAGCAAGCTAATGAGTTTATAGGATCAATCGGACTAGCCACATATTGCTCAATAGTTGATGTGTAAGTGAGCAGCTACTGTATGATTGTAGTTTTTCCATGATAGAACTAAATTGTCTATTTCAAATGTTGTATGTAGAAAACTAAAAGAAAAATAGTCTAGAGAAGTCTACTATAACAAAACTTTTTTACTTTATCATAGTGTAGAGATGGAGAATAAGTTGTACATTTAGTCCTGAGGTCACTGGCTACTCCCCAGTCCCGTCAGCTTGTCTGATAGTAATTAAAACTATACTAAATGGTTTAATGGAGACCCAAGGAAGATAAATGAATTTGTATTTAATGAGAAAACCTGTGATCTGGGTTTAGAATGTCAGGTCTGTAATCCTACCACTTTATAAGCTGAGGCTGGATTATGAGTCCATCCTTGGCTACATAATGAAAGTATGAACTGGTTTACACAGTGGGAACCCAAGAGGGAAAGAGGGGAAGACGAGGAAGAAGGGAGTGAGGAGAGGGGTTAGGAGAAAGAAGGCATGAGGAAGATGAGGGTAAGGGAGAGGAGAAAGAACTGATGAAAATGTGGAAGTAGAATTCTGGAAACAAGTTGATACAGATAAATGACTTCCTAAAATGGAGAAGGTACCTTTCTTCTAGCTTGGAGGCCGCAACATAAAATCAAAGAGACGATGGTTACTTGAAGACAGTGTACTTTCTTCCAAATGCTTCCATCCATGTTGACAAAGCTAAACCTACAATAACTGGGTGTGAACCTCCAGCCACTGGGACTGGCATTTGGAATTCTTGATCCTGTTTTAGATGGAAGAGGGCCTCCTACTATTCTGAATTTTACATTGTCTTCCTCTTCCTTGCCTGGTGCATTCTAGAAAATTCTCCCAGTGAGGGGATCCCCTTTAATCAATCTGAATGCTTTGAAGAATTAGGGGAGATGTACGTGTGTGTATGGCCGGGGTTCATGTGCTCCAAACTGCTCATGTGGCAGTCAAAAACAACTTCAACTTCCGGTTGCTGGTTCTCTTCTTCCACCATAGGTCCCAAGGATCTAAGTCAAGTTGTCAGGCTTGTGCAGGAACGTGCTCTTATAGATCCTCTGGTATATTCAAGAGGCTCCTCTTTGCACAGGAAATGCCTTGTGCCCACTATGACAAAACTTCCCTTAGAAGATGACCTTCCACAGGCATGTCTGCATAACTGTTTTGAGATTGAGCAGTTTTTGAAGATTCTCAAGATTGACATTTCATTACAAAACCTATTTTATAGTTGGGTCTGGTGGCACATGGTGTGAATTCCCACACTTGAGTAGATTGCTGTGAATTCAAGGCCAGTCTGGCCTATATACTGAGTTCTAGTCCAGCCAGGAACTTTTCATTTATCCTGGACCATTAATCCAAGATATATGAATACTGATTCTTGTGTTTGCTCTCAACTGTTAAAACTAGCCAGAATGACCTTGCTATGCCAGGCTCTTTGCCTACCATGGGCTCTCTGCTCAAGCTCTTTCTTCCACTGTGTGGTTTCAGACCTACTCATTCTGTTCTACCAGGGTGGTGATTTCCACATGTAACCATCACAGATGCGTTCATTCTCCTCAAGTTCTTGATACCTCCTATCAGTTCAGATACAAACCCACGCCAACATGCTACTCAGTGACTTTCCCCCTCGTTTTTATGTGGTGTGCACGTGTGTGGTGTGTGCATGCAGAAGTCCAAGGCAGATGGCAGGGATCATCCTCCATTACTTGTCCACCTTATCCAGGGTCTCTCAAGAAAAAAAAATCAGAGCTTGCCAATACGACTTTGGGGATCCCATGTTTCTGCCTTCTGAGGACTATCACATACACCAGACCTTTATGTGGGTTTCTGGGGATGCTTGCCTAGTAAGCACCAAAACCCCTGGGCCATCTCCCCAGCCCTCGGTGACTGTCTTCATTAGCTCCCTAGGCTGAAGAAAACATCTGTTTCAAGTCTGGTAGTTAGCCTGACTTGGGTAGAAAATAGCTACCCCGGTTCTGCAGTGACTATTCCATCGTGTGATTTCTAAAGGCTCTGTGTGCCCTGGGGGGCGGGGGGAGACAGTGCTGAATCTCGTGTTTCTGCTATGTACTCACTTCATGAGGTTACACTTTTGGGGTAGTTTGGGTATCCAACCTATTTATAGAGTCTTGGTTTATAATAATGTGCTTAAGTCCCATGCCCTTTTGGTAGAGAGTTACAAAGTGTGGCAATTTAAACCGATTCAGATCCCTTTTACTTCCATGTCTTGTGTGGTCCTCACAGAGGGCACTGGAGTGAGGAAGACCATTCTGTGGTGGACTCTGAAGGCAACCATCTTCTGACAGGTCTGACTAGGAAGCACTCACCTGTGCTAACAGAATGGACTCTACTGTAACATACATACATACATGGAAATTGAAAAGCTTGGTTATCCTCCAAAACATACTTCTTTTCACTTCCAGCATCTTCCACTGTTGTAGAACAAATTTAGGGTTGAGCACTTACCTTGACTGATAGAATGCAGCCCTGAACCCCCAGAGAGCACGGTCCCGGCAACCCTCCTTTTTTGGCCCACTAAAATGAATTTCAGGTTTCGATCCTACAAAACTTGGGAAGAATAACTGTGATAGACATTACCAAGTCCATGGTAATGCATTGCAGCAGCGACCAGAATCTACTTAGTGTACTTTCTTCAACTTAACTGCTTTTAAAGGCTTGGTTTTAGCCTTTCATTGAAACAGCAGTCAATTGTTCCTATATCAGCATAGTTTAGTAGGTAAACTAAAAGCCACTTTTTCGATGTATTTTAAACTAAACCATCAACATATGCAGTATCTTTCATCACAGTGTGAGTGAAGAGAAGTGGAGCTTTCCACCTCATAGAAAGCTCTCTAGGTCGAAATATCAACACAATGGACACTGTGTGGTTTTAGGTGCTGTGAACAGTGTTTTCTACCACTAAGACATAACGGTGGTCTGCCTCAGGATTACGTTTAATGAGTGCCAAAGGCATATATATATTTACAACAGGCATAAAGACCAAGAGAGGTCCTATCCCTGCAGTCCCAACAATAAGAGGCACCCGCATGAACTGTATAGAATGTCTTGAATACAGATGTTCTGAAAGTAGAGTTCCCTTGAAAACGCTTTTAAACAAAAAAAAAAAAAAGTCCTGATAGGCCTAAACCGCACTTTATGTCTTTAATGAGTATTGATGCGAAGCAACTGCTCTTTGCCATTAATTATCAGCGACTTTAACTCTCCATCTTCTTCCACTTCCACCCTTTCTTGACCATTCTCAACGATTCTCTTGGTGGTGATTTTTTTGCCATTAACTATTTCGGTGGAGGTCGACACCGACTTGAAGTTGCCAGCCGCCCCACCGCCACAGGACATGGAGAAAGACGAAAGGCCTGAGTTTCCCGGAGAACCGAAGGATGTGAATCCGGTATCTAACGAAGCAAAGCCACCCCCAAAAGTTGGGAAGTCGGTGAAGGAGGTCGAGAAGGGTACTGCCCCTCGGCTTCTGCTTCCTCGGCAGCTCCTCCGATCCCCAAAGAAGTTATCAAACGGGTCTCCGAAGAAGTCGAACGAGAAGGGGTCGCGGCCCCCGAAGAACTCCCTGAAGACCTCAGCGGGGTCTCGGAAGGAGAAGACATACTGGAAGGCTTCGTGGAACGGGCTGCCGGCCGCGCCGCCGCCGCCCACCTCGCCCACCTCGCCGCAGCGGTCGTAGACTTCGCGCTTGCGGGCGTCCGATAGGACCTCGTAGGCCTGCGCCACCTGCTTGAACCTCCTCTCGGCCTCCTCCTTGTGCTCGGGGTTCTTGTCCGGGTGCCATTTGAGCGCCAGCTTGCGGTACGCCTTGCGGATGGTCTCAGCTGAGGCCTGCCGCGGCACGCCCAGCACCTCGTAGTAGTCCACCATGGCGGCTGGCCGGCCCGCGGCCTCGGCGCTGCAGCGCGGCTGGCGGCTGCTGAACGCCCCTTACCGGCCGGCGCCGCGCGCGTCCTTGTGACGTGGGCGCCGCCCATTGGCGGGGGCGGGTGGCGCCTCAGCCTATCAGAATAAAAGGCTCCAGGGTTGGGTCTGCGCCCAGGGACGCTCGGTGGTGCTGATTGGTTTGTTGGTCTGTTATGAAGTACAAAGGGCAACTTAGGGGAGAGGCCATGATTCTGGCTGCCATAAAAAAACACTACACTTTTCCTTCCTCTTCCTTTTCCTCCTCCTCCAGCTTCTCTTCCCTCTTTCCCTTCCTCCTTCCTAACTCTCCTTTGTCTCCCCTTCTGCCGCTGCTGCTCTCCCTTCTCTTCTCAGCTGTGTAGATCAAGCTAGTCTTGAACTCACAGTCATGCCCTGCTGCCTCCCCATCCGCGCTGTGGATTTATTAATGTGTTTCACCAAGGCCAGCTTTTAAAAATGGGTTTTTGTGCCCTGCCCCAAGTCAGCTTTCCTTTAGACAGGTAAGAGGATAGGAAAATTGACAGAGGTGACTTTTGTCTGACTCTGAAGGACAGTGGTTTGTGAAAAACTGAGGTTCTCAAATGTTTTGGCTTCCGGACCCTTTGTTCTAATTTCTATGACTTAGTTCCATTCAGATCACAAGAAAGTAAAGCAATATCTGTTAGCTGCAGTCGAACATAAATCATGTTCTTATGAGGAAATAATTTCTTCAAAAACTCAGAAGGGTGTGATATGTTTATATTCTTTAAATAACTCCAGCATCGGGCTTAATAAAGCTGGATTCTCTTGCTTCTGCATTCAATCTACTGTGATCTCACACATGGAGTAGCCTTTAGAAAACTCCACCATATGCTTATGAGAAAAAAGATCTTTAAAAAGTCAGTATCTTCGTGGATGGAAATAGTCTTGACATTCCCTTGAAAAGTTCCCAGGGTTCCCTAGCTAATACTTGGAGAGCCATTGTTGTCCTGAACAAAATAATTAGAACTTGTGGACTATTTTGTAGCCCTCTAGGTGAGATGTTCTTGTTTCCACTAACTGTGGTATCATGGCTATGGGTTTCCTTCTGTCCTTGCTTAAACTTGTATTGTCTCACTTCCTTGTGTATGTGATTTTTTTGAACACTATATTATCTGACTTGATCAGTTGTGAGGCAGCATACATCTATAAAGGTTACTTGGTCCTAAGGGGAAATGATTAACCAGTGAACTTTTGAAGATTCTATCATGAAGGGCACTAGGTCTAACCAGTAGCACTAGAGCACCAGAAGAGTCATTGGAGTTTATGTCACACCCAGTGACTGAACTTGAACCTACCTGTAGGGCTGGCACTTGTTAATGAGATTGTGTTAGAAACCTGATTAGGAGGAAAGGGCAGGTGGATTGATGACCCAGAAGAGCTAGAGAGAAGAAATAATCTTCAAAAGGTGACCCAAGGTCTAAGGAAGGGCAAGGCTAAAGGATTTGAGTTTTCTTGTGAGCCCGATGAAGCTGTTGACCATGGCACCAGAAGCAGTGATGGGATGGGATGGGGGCAAAATGATAGAGTGAGTTGGTAGGACCGCCTAGGGGCTGAAGCTCTGGAATAGGATTGTGGCAGCTGGTTCTGAGAGACTGAGCACTTGACTTAAGTATTAGTAAAGGCAGATGGCATCTGTACAAAGATATTTCCTGAATGCATGGCTATGGACTGGCACCTGGGCTGAGACAGTGATTCTGAAGCTGAAAGCCTGTCTATGAGGAATGTATCTGTTTAGGCTTTGTCTAGCTTACAGACCGTTGTGTGAACTTTGAGATGATAAGAGACAGGATAGAGAAAAAATGCTGCAGAGATTTGAGAAAAGCTGCCTTTTCCCTCTAGAAGGTCCTGAGCTCATCCGAAGGAGGATAGCAAGCTTGTATGCTTTGTTTAGTGTGAATCTCCATTATTCCCTCAATGGAGCTAGTTGTCCCTCCCAGCAGTGGGAATATTAACTTCTAGCTCCAGCTTAAAAAGAAATTCCACTTGAAAAGTGGGGGTTTTCAAAGACACTGCATTCTTCAAGGGCCTCCAAAGCAGGACCACATTTCTGCTGTGTTGTTTTCTCAGCCTGCAGAACACATCTTGCTGTGCCCTGTAATTGTTTGGTACTTCTCTGACCTCTGGACCCTTCCTCACAGGCACTGGCCATTGGTCATTTGAGTTTTGGCTCTGTGACTAACATAGTAGAATTCACATGTTCCATGCATGTTGCTGAAGGAAGGGGTTTGAAATATGTTTAGCCTGCTCATGCTCCAGGTCAGACTTATCATTGGATTGCTTTGAAGTGATTCTCCTTGTTGGTAATAAGAAATATAGATTGCCTTGCATTTAGATCAGTGAGCAGTGTTCCCTGGCCCTAACCATTCAGGTCCACAGTGGCTGCAAGATGCTCTGAAGCAGTACACTGTCTCCCTTGCATGTAGCTTTGGGTTCCATCTCTGGCACCATTTAAATGAAAAAGCTCAAGGTTCTGAGTAAGAACATGAACAGAGCCGTAGAAGCATTGTTATGTTTTTGGGCACTTTGCTCCACACAAGCTGCAGGTGAGTTCTCGCAAAATGGGGCTTCCAAGGGTTACTGATCCTAAAGTTTAACTTGAATTGTGAGCTTTGGGATTTCAGTTAAATGCTCGGCAAAAAACAAAGGGATTGCTACATCTTTTCTGCTTACTGAGAATTAAGAGTGAGGGAATGATTGAGCGTGGGGAAAGAGTTCAAAGTGCATGTGTGCACCGTGTGTGTGTGTGTGTGTGTGTGCAAAAACACAAGCAAAACTGGGACTCTGCTGAGGAAGGGTGAAGGCCCAGTAATAGAGACTTTAAAGTGCCTGAATGGTTTTCTGCCAGCTGTGTACTCTAGAACACCAATGCTTTAAAGTTAAATTCTTTCTCGTTATTCCCAGCACACACACACACACACACACACACACACACACCATGTATGAAGGACCAGTACTGCAGTCAGTATTGGGATCTGTGCTTCCTTCCTCAGACTGTATAGGGCATCAGTGGATCCCCAGGAACGGTACAAGGCTGGTTCTGCTCATACTCTGGTTGCCCACTTCAGGAGGCATTTCTGTTCAACAGCTCTTGCCTTCATCTTGGAGGGCTCCAGATAGTACTGTTTGAACACTTCCTTGGACTCAAAGTCCTCTCTTTTCCCTATTCCCCATTCTTCATGGTGGGGTCATGACCTTGAGGATCACAGTTTTTCATTCAACTTCTTACTAGGGCCTATGTCTTAGCTCTGCCAAGGATCCTGGCAAATGTCTTTGCTTCTGTTGGCCTCCTTATGTGTGCAAAATGAGGGAAATCCTTCTGCTTTTATGTACTGTGATTTTCTGTTTGGAATATGTTTTCTTTCTGTTTTTCTGCTCTTGGAGAAGACTCATATGACTTTGTCTTTGTCATTTTCTACCCCAGCCTGGCTCCATTCATTTGCACTCTCAATGGACCACATTTCTTAGCTCGAGCTGTGTATCTGACTCTCTTGATAGAGCCTGAGTCCTGGAAAGGCAGGACACTCATCAGCGCTGGTCTTAGCTGCAGACTTGAGACCCAGAATTGTACTAGATTCATTCAGTATGAAGTAAAAACAGCCAGTGAAGGTGCTAGCTCAGTTAGTAAAGTGTTCTGAAGCCGTATGAAAATTCTGAACATGGTGGGGCATGCTTATAGTGCTAGGGAACCAGAGAAATGAAACTTCCTTGACTCAGTGGTCTCCCAGTTTAACCTAATAGGAAGGGTCTACGCCAATGAAAGAGCCTATCTCAACACAAAATGTGCGGCCTCTGAGAGGTAATACTCAAGGTTACCCTCCCGATTACATGCCACACAGAGACACACACAGACAGGCACACGCTCATGCGCACGTGCACATTGTGAAAGGTGATGGAAGTGGTGAAGAGGAGTCCCGAGTGAATGATGGGAGGCTTTCTTAGGGCTTTTGTGGATAAAAGTGGAGCTTCAGCCCTTCTCAGTTCCTTTCTTTCCAAAAGACTTTCTGAGTAACTTTCTGTTTTATCCTTGGGAAGGTGCCAGGCTTTGACGCTTCCTGGTAACCCTTTCAGACTTATGAATAAATGCTAATTTAATGTATTCAAAGTGGCCAGAGATGGTTTGCTCGCTATAGTCACTCAAAGACATGATTTGAGAGAGACATTGCAGCCATTATCTTCTAAGGAACCCCGGAAAGCTCCACCCTCATCTTGAAAAGCAAATGTTCTATGGTCTCTGCCAGTTGATCGACAGCTTTAGTCATGGGACACTGTCAAACATTAACTGCTTACACAAATTTCTTTTGTGTAAGAACCATGAGCAGGCCTGAGTAGACCTTTTGAGAGCACCGGAGGGAGAGGTACCATGACTGTGGCGTGCGGGAGCTCCCATTCGCCTCTGCTTCTCGTGGGCCTTCTGTTGTGTGTGCTTGGCCCCTCTGTGTCCCATGCTGGGAAGCTGTTATTGCTCCCTATGGATGGCAGCCACTGGCTCAGCATGCTTGGAGTTATTCAGCAGCTCCAGCAGAAGGGACATGAGATAGTGGTCATAGCACCTGAAGCCTCACTACACATAAAAGAAGGATCCTTTTACACTCTAAAGAAGTACCCTGTGCCATTCAAGAAGGAAGACGTGATAGCGACTATTGTGGAACTTGGGCTTAGTGTCTTTGAGGAAGACCCTTTCCTGCTGCGTTTGATCAAAACATACAAGAAAGTCAAAAGGGACTCTGCCATGCTCCTCTCCGGCTGCTCACACCTACTGCACAATGCCGAGTTCATGGCCTCTCTGGAAAAAAGCCACTTTGATGCTCTGCTAACAGACCCCTTCCTTCCTTGTGGTCCCATTGTGGCCCAGTTTCTGGCTCTGCCTGCTGTCTACTTCTTGAATGCATTGCCGTGCGGCCTGGATTTGGAAGCTACCCAGTGCCCCTTTCCACTGTCCTACGTGCCCAAGAGTCTGTCTGTAAACTCAGATCGCATGAACTTCCCGCAGCGAGTGAAGAACATGCTCATTGCTTTGTCAGAGAACTTTCTATGCAATGTGGTCTATGCCCCCTATGAGCCGCTTGCCTCAGAAGTCTTACAGAAAGAGGTGACGGTCAAGGACCTTCTGAGTTCTGCGTCTATTTGGCTGATGAGAAATGACTTTGTGAGAGATTACCCCAGGCCCATCATGCCCAACATGGTTTTTATTGGTGGTATAAACTGCCTTCAGAAAAAGCCCTTATCTCAGGTGTGTATGTGAGCGTGGCCTCTCCTTGCCCGTGTTCTCTCCGGGAAAGAAACCTTCCATAGGTATGTGCTGAGTTCACTGAGCATGCTGGGATGCTTTCAAGTGCTCTCTTTGTTAACTTCTCTTCCTTAAGTCTCCCAGTTTTGAATTTGTCTATCTTTGGCATCCTCTCCTGACTTCCTTCTTTGTACATAGTATTTTGGAAAACTATATCTTGGGCTGTTTTTTTATGTGGAATTCACTTTAATGCAACTGACATTAACTGTCAAAAGAACCGTGTGTTTGGAATGCTTCTCGGAGAACACAGATGTGTATTATGAAGCTTGCCCTTGAGTGGGGCACTGGATTTGGGCACCAGCAGCTTAAGTCTGATGCAATTGTTCTTTAACCCTTATAACTGCTGGCAAGAGACACTGCCTTTATGGTCCTGGCTAAATAGAACTTCTTATAGGAAGTTAGTTCCCGCAGCTTTCTGCCTCTTCTAATAGGGCAAAGTGTCAGCCCTCTGTCTGAGCAAGAGATAGTCTTAATGGGAGAAAGCAATACACAGACCACAGTCATACGTGTTGGGTCTGAAGTAAGTAGCCAATAAAGAGATCCTGGAGGCCAGAGATGTGAAGATAATGAAGAGACCAAACATATAAGCAGACCTGCTTCAAGTCCATGTGCTTGGCTCCAGTGAAAGGCTTCTGATAGGTAGTCTAAGTGGATCCTGGGAAGGCAAAATATGTTCATAGCTCAGAACCAAAGCCACAGGTCTCAGCAGAGATTATTATTAATGTTTAAAGGTCTCACCAGCTGGGGGAGGGGTTGTCCCCAGAGAAAAGGCTTTTTTTTTTTCAAAGCATTTATCATGTTTAGAAGAAACAAGTCAGAGATCAAAGATTATTTTCAGTTAACATGTTGCCTCACTGTTTGGCTGTCCCAAGGACTGTGATATTGTGACAAAGTTTAGGGCATATTGTACCAAGTGGAGAGGACTCACCTTTGTTGAACCCACAGAAGTTGAGTCAGAGTGAGTCATTGACTATCTTGCCTCCGTGGCTTACTCTTTTGGCCTCTGTACACAAACTTGTGTGCCAGTTTGGCCTCAATTAAAATCATACTATCTGCCTGTGAATGTTTATGACCCTACAGATCTGATTTTGTGCTAATCACATACTGGTGGCTGCTGAGTAGGCACGCAAAGGCATAAGGGAGGCAAACTAGACTATGCCTTTCCTGGCAGGATTGCACATGTCTTGAAGGAGCAAAGATTCTGGAATCTAGGTGAGCTACGCGCTATCAGGAGGTAGAAGAAAAGCAAAGGGCCCTAGGATGTGGGATGCCCGTCCCCAGGAAAGAAGGGCCTGGGGAAGAAAGAAGAAAACTGTGATGTGATCCTAGAAAAAAACAGCTTCAGAGCAACCAACTCCAGGATGCTCTGGGTCAAAATCCAGGACAGTGACAGAAGAGCCGGGTCTTTAGATTGTCTCAGGAAGTGAGACCGACGTGACAATGCTCTGACATCCAGTGAACTGCAGGAGCCTGGCCTTTGGAGTGCTGGAAGAGGGCTGTGCCCCTGGGAAGACTGCACATGGGATCCTGATACGTTCAGGAAAGAGTTTAGTAGAAGCCTCTCTGTGTCTACATGTAGGGAGGGTCAGGACATGGTTTGCCCAGGAATATTTGGGTTTTAGGAATAAAAGCACCATGTTCACGCAGTCCTTCTGCTGTGTGTAACTTATTACATCATGCCATCACGTTGATGCTGTTCACGCTCTTTGGAAACATCAGAATCCATCTGAGAGACTCTTGATGGTTAGCTAGCTTATTAATTATGTACAATGGGAGAGAACTGCCATGCTACTTAATGTCTGTTTTCTGCATAGGGGCACAGGTAGGCATGTGTATATGGTCGTGTGTCATGTTTATGGGTGCATGGTCATGTGCATGTGCACTCCTGTATGTGCCTCTCTTTCTCTGATGGGAAATCAGCACCTTATTTGGATTCTGCATCTCCAGGGAACCCCACAGATAACCCTGTAAGCAAGAAATCCTCCTGAATTGAAGGAGACAAGGAGACAGAGTTGCCGTGATGGTTTTTGTCTATTACATGCATACCTTTACTGATTCTCATGAGAGGGAAGTATCTATCTTGTAATCTAATATGTGCAGTTCCCATGGGATGTGAGAACAAAGAGATGAACTGGAAATTTCTCCTCTCGCTCTAGGAATTTGAAGCCTATGTCAACGCTTCTGGAGAGCATGGCATCGTGATTTTCTCTCTGGGATCCATGGTCTCGGAGATTCCAGAGAAGAAAGCTATGGAAATCGCCGAGGCTTTGGGCAGAATTCCTCAGACGGTAAGATGGTTCTACAAGACTCCTTCATGTCTGCTTTTAGTCTCTAACTCTAGATCTCAGTGTCTAAATGCAGAATTCTGAGTTGTGGAACTCCTCTGCCATTCAACAAAGTTGTTATTATTATTATTATTACCATATATTTTTTCAATTTATTCAGGTATTCCTATGACATGTTCTGCCTCACTCAGATTTCTCTTTTCTCTAGGAAACTCCCAAGTATTAGAGAGAATGTTGTTTAAAAAAATAAGCATAATATTGTTTTTTCACATCAATGAAAAATGTTTCTCCAAAAAGCTATTTTGTTTTGTTTGTTCCTGCTTGGATAGCTTTTACATCCACTTGCCTTGTGAAGAAAGTTTCCCTTTGATGTGCAGAAACATGAAGGAATACTGAGGGTGGCTTGATGGCTTCTCACACTCATGTTGCCAAGCTTTAGCATCAAGAGCCAATGCTGCTCTTGAGCCCTGGGGACTTCCAGTTCACCAAACTTCCCATCATGCAAAGCCCATCCAGATTCTTCTTACTCATAGGACTGGCCTTTCTAGCTAGGTTAGCTGATCTTTTTTTAAAAAAAAAATATTTATTTATTTATTATGTATACAATATTCTGTCTGTGTGTATGACTGAAGGCCAGAAGAGGGCGCCAGACCTCTTTACAGAAGGTTGTGAGCCACCATGTGGTTGCTGGGAATTGAACTTGGACCTTTGGAAGAGCAGGCAATGCTCTTAACCACTGAGCCATCTCTCCAGCCCCCTAGCTGATCTTAAAAAATCAAATTGTGTTCTTTTTTTAAGCCTATGTTTTTTGTCCCTACTAGGTCCTGTGGCGCTACACTGGACCTAGACCATCGAACCTTGCGAAGAACACAATACTTGTAAAATGGCTACCCCAAAATGATTTGCTTGGTAGGTTGGGAGCATCTGCCATGTAGATCAAACCAGGGTTACACTAAGGAAATGACAGGCTTTAATATTCTAAATGATTGCTTAGCTTGATGGTGACTGAGACACATCACATACAGCAACCCACCCCACCCACTCGCAGAGTTTTTACAATGGCCATGCATAGGTGATAGTCCTTGTGGGCTTTTCAGAATTTAGACATTGTCAGGCTGAAGGACCTGGTGTCCCTCTCTGTTGTGCTCCTCAGGTCACCCAAAGACTCGTGCGTTCATCACACACTCTGGTTCCCATGGTATTTATGAAGGAATATGCAACGGTGTGCCGATGGTGATGATGCCCTTGTTTGGCGACCAGCTTGACAATGCCAATAACATGGAAACTCGAGGGGCTGGGGTCTCCCTGAATATTATCAAAATGACTGCTGATGATTTGGAAAATGCTCTAAAAGCGGTCATCAATGACAAGAGGTAAGTAAGAGGAGAAGAAAACAAACAACATACCTGTGTTCGTGTCTACAGCATTTGCAATCAACAAAATAGCACAACAACAAATACATAAAAAATCTAGATTCATACACAAGATATAGTGGGCATTATTCCTACTTGTAAAAGGAATTTATATTTTATCTTAGAATTTGTCAAATTTTTTAGTTTCCCTAGATTTACAGTCTTCAATTAAAAATAATGTCACCATAATAGACAT